AACCACCCTTTTAATGATAGTAATAATTTAGATATAACTTTGTGGTGCAATGACTGCACACACTCGTTTGTGAAATACTGATAATAGATGTAGTCATCATCGTCGGATTCATTAAAGAATGCAGCTCCAGTTCTTCGTGTGTATTCCAGGGCCAGGGTCACGTAAACCAGAGCTCAATGAGACCCACCTTCTTGGGGCTTTCAGTCATGGACAGGGTCGCATTGACTTCGTATCAGTCATCAGTCAGTTCGCCGATCTAGAGTAACGAGATCTGTATAAATATATTCGTAAACATGTAACGTTGCCGTGAGATAAAATGTCATAGACCTATTTATATGTGATATTCCGCTTTCTCATTGTCGAGATTACTTTATCAGTCACGGTGTGCAAATCAATTACGTGGAAGTCTTACAAAACCCATGCAAATTATTATATCCAAAGGGGGCCAAGGGTCAGGGTCGTCCGTTGGCATTCTAATTGCCCGTGTCAACAGTTTCGTCTGGCCACTGGGTGAGATGGGCTCGTAAATCTTTCCGATCAAATGGGATTGTTGAGGGTAGAGGGGATAGAGTCGCGAATACTAAGTGCACTTATATGGCCTGTGATTATAGAACCAATAGCCACTTTCGTTGGATTATGCCCAGACAGGGTTACGCCCCGTTTTGGCAGTTTACGTCGATATTTCGTGTGGGTACTTTTCCCCCATTAATTAAGTAAACGGTTTTCATAGTACCGACCACAGGTTGGAATTCCGATTTCGGTTTGTTTACACTCGAATCTCGGGGCGAGGGAATCCCGTGGAACGGGTTTGCCGCATTCGAGCGAACTCATTAGCATCAGCTTGTGATGATGGAAGCAACGCTCTGTCCAAAGATGAATTTAACGATCAACGTGTGGCGCTGACTGGCCAAAAACCCGGAGTCGCAGATTCCCCACAAGTCTAATGATTCAGCCGCAACCGCCTACAAACTCCAGATCATCATTATTATTCGATATTAAAAATCAAAAGCAAAACAAAGCCGCTCTTCAGCCTGGTTGGATGGTTTTGTGTTGTTATCTTTCGGGGTTGGGTTCCTGATTTCCCTCACAATTGACGTCAAGCCGCCTTTGTTTTAGCATTTGGTTGTGACGGATCCATCCATCCGCATGTGTGCTGTGTATTTACACACCAGACACAACATCCACCCATCACAATAATTAACAGCTACTTTCAGGAGCAGCTTTGTTTGCTTAGCTGCGGAGCAACTTGCTCAAAACAGAGCTCAAAACCGAAGCTAAAGACTGGCGGCCAGGCCAAATCCAAAAGAGGAAGCGCATGTCTTCAAGCAGCACTTGAGCACAGTGGTTATGCATAATTCCAATGGGGGGCTATCTTGGCAAATACAAACTATAGCTATAGTGGCATAAGTGAAATTGCAATACCCTGTTCAAGCTGGGTAAATAGTGTGTTTTGAATGCAGCAGGAAAAAACAATAAATTATTATTGACCCAAGTTACATTTGTAGTTTAACTATAAATCGTTCAGATCGAGTATTTTTGTATTTTTAGAAAATGAATGGAAAAGTACAATAGATAATGGTCTAAAAATACCAAAACCTTTTATGTTATTTATTTCCTTAAGGTAGCTGAACGAGTGTAAAGTCTGCAGTTAAGTCGAACTATAGATTTATGCCTAATAAATCAATTTTGCTATACCAAAAATATCGCAAGCAGCTCTTGAAAATTGTAATAATTTACATATTTAATTTAGCGCAATATTGAAAACAAATAGGTAGCTAGTTTAAAATATTAGATGTGGTTTTTCTAAAGGAATTTCCCTATAGTTCTATCATTACAATAATAATAAACAGATTTCCATATTAATAAATATATTATAATTAATATTCTATAATATTAATTCGCTTTCATCAGCAAAAATAAAAACAACATACGGCGTGCGTCAAATAAACATTACAGATTATAATCTGTTAAATATTGAATAATAAATATTTTTATAATAACCCCTATAAACCTATATTTACGATATTCAAGCTATTGATAGCACTTTTGCCGGCGTATAAATCAAGCGATAAGATAAAAATACAAATTTCTGGACGATTGTTTCCCTAAAATATTCGGTTGCGAAATACATATGTTTCTATTTTCGTGAGGGGTTCCTGAAAAATTTAATTCTGGGCAAAAGGGCTGGATATATTTAGATCAGAAACGATATAAGCCCATTTGGACTTGGATGGGCTCTCGGGAAAGAGTATAAAAATACACACGCATGAGTGCGGGGGCACTTAATAAGTTTTTAAAAGGTTTGCAAAATATTGTTTAAATATTGTTATTTTCGGACTAATATCCTCACGTTGTCTGACGCAATTTCCGTTGAGGTGAGAGTGTCTCTTTTGTGTGAGCTTCTCCACCAATTGCCGTGTGACCTTCTCCGATGACAATGGTCCCCCGATTCCATCTTCACACTGCAAACTTAAGTGCTACAAAATGATCGGGGTCATTATGCAATTACCCAATATTATACAAGTTAATATACAAAAATTATGAATGTCATCAATTTGGTATAAGTACTTTTTACGCATCACATATTGAATGCACGTAATTCGAGAATTAATTGATTTGGTATGGGGGAACTTTAATATATTAAGAAAAGAACATAATACGCTTTGTGGTTTTTCATGGTATATATATGTGGATATGTTTATTTAACCAGCATATATCCGATTCCATTTCTCTCCGTGCACAAAAGTACGAAACTGCGCCTCGACAAAAGTTGAATGTTTCGTTCTTGCTTTCTAAATAAACATTAATTGTTTATACTATATGTTCTTCCCAAGTATTATATGTACGTATGTGGTTCTGTGTATAGTTGACCGTCGCCTCTGTCGCTGAATTGCATTAATTTGGCGAGGGTCGCTTGGATTTGGCTTTGGTTCGTCTCTGGTTTTTTGGATACTTGGCTTTGGTCGGGGTGCTCCCTTTTCGTTGGGCTGGCGTAATTCGAAACGCCTTTAAAGCGACGCGCGCGCCTTGGATCTCGGTTCATATGCATAAGTTAAGCTCGGTCTAGCTGCACTTTGGCAACTTTTTTTCCTATTAACATGCCTACGCTAGCGAAAATTTCCATTCCGGCGGGATGACAGCCCCGGGAGTCACCTCGTCGTCATATTATACATACCAAATGGGTTTCACCATTACACCTTTTTTACAATGTGCTGCAGAGACACGCGCATTGCAAAAAAAAAAGTAGTAGAGGTGCGGAGGGAATTTTGCTGATAAGATTACCAGTAGATTGATAAGCGAAAAATGATGGTATATGTGCCAACGTCTATGTATATTTATGATGGGGAAATAACCAAAGAGCAGAAATAATATTCCCAGCGTGAGATAATAATATATCATTCTTTAAGATCGCTGAAAATAGCAAAAGTTCAAAGTGCTGGGGTGCTTTGAAAATATTTTTGTATCATTCTACTTAAGTCATAAATATTTTTGAAATATCATTTGAATATATTGAAATAACATGTTATTGGAAAGATAGGGCCATTGTAATTATGAGAAAAACACCCCCTGATGGAATTTTCCGCTGATACCTTTGCGGATCTAGTGATTAGGAATGCCTTCTACCTGGTCTTTTATGAGGATCTTCCGGCTACCTCCCTCTGTCCCCTATCCTTTGCCCTCAGCCATTCACTCTGGGTTTTTCACCTGCCGTCGCTTTCACGGACACGGACCCGAACCCGAATCCGAACCCGTAACCGTCCCTGTCCTTGCCCGGCGCTCTACCTGTCACAGCGCCAAATGATTTGTTATTCAAATGAAACAGCGCGTCCGTCGATTCTTCTGACGGTTGCCAGGGGGCATCATGTTTTGCCGTCTTCTTGGACATGCGTCAATAACCGGCGGGCGATTACACCTAGTCGATGTACTAGTGTCCGTCCGGTCAATGTGTCGTATACGTACTGCGCGGAAGATGGGGCGTATGGAGGAGATATCGGTAGGGGTATCTGTGTGGGTATGGGAGTGGGTATGGGTATGGGTATAGGGGTGCCCGCCCGCTGCGCTTGACCGTTAAAAGTGCTCGATCTCTCACTCACTCGCTATCTGTATTGATACCCGTTACTCTTAAAGTCGAGAGGGTATATATCATTTGTACGAAGTGATGTAACATTTTATAGCGTCTGTATATGTCCGTTCTTCTTGAGGGTACTCGGAAATGCAAGATTATTATAAAGTTTTTGACAAGAGCTTCGGTCCCAAGAAATGAGAAAAACGACTAAGCGAATTACCTACTTAGACACTATCAAAGATATTACAAAGCTATTTTAGAAGCTGTCCATATATTACATATGTACTTAAGTAATAATAGTTTTGCCGAGTTATGACTCCTCCCATGAAATCAACTTTTCAAACAAAAAAATTAATCTTTTCATAGGAGTAATCAAATATATGACGCCCCCACGCTTATACGATTACCTATGTAATTTATGGACAGCCCCTTAGAACTTATATTTTGTAATAATTATTTGTTGGTACCTTTAATGGGTGTAGAAAGTTTTTAGAATTTGTATATCTACTCAGATATAATATATGGTTGCTTTTAAAGAAGGGTTACATATTTTGTAGCAGCGAGTAACGGGTATCTCCTAGTCGGTACACTCGTTACTTATCGCTTTGTTTTGGTTTCTTATCTCTCGCTCTCCGCGAGAGCCGCTCCTGTTGCCAACTACCGCAAATTTGGCCAGCATCTGACTTTGTTTTGGTATTTCGCTTGTGATTTACCCCTGCTTAATGTTTATTACGAGTGTTTGTTTTTTTTTTACTTTATTCGCTTGTGAGCTTGTATGGTTGGCAAGTTCAGTTCGTTAGCTTTGCTTTGTCATCCGATTCGAGGAATATCACTCGCTGGTATCGCGCTCTCTCTCTATCTCTCTCACTCTCTCGTCTAGCTGGTAACTCTCTCGCCAGTTGGACAGCCTATAAAAGCGGAGCGGTTTCAGCGAGCAGCGTTCATTTGAGTTTTGAGTTTCGCGGTTCGACGTTGCCCACTTGGTCTTTCGGCTCTGGAGAAAACTATTCGAATCTGGTGAAAAGCATTCCCATTACCAGCTACTCAGTTCAGTTTCGATTCCCAGTCCAACTATAAAAGTGCGCTGTAGTCTCTGTCAAAACAACTGCATACAATTATTACAATTGCCAATTGCATTTTCATGAGCTAACTGTCTTTCGCATCGCGTGTGAAAAGTTACAAACAATAAAACAATTGCCAACGGTTAATGTTAATATCGAGGCAATTATAAAAAAGTAATTGGATTGTCTGGCTTACGCAAGGCCAACTACAATTACCAACAACAAGCAAAACAAATCACATATAAAAAAAAGCAAGACAGAAATCCCAATTTGGATTTATTAATAGCGCTGAAAAAAAAAGTAAAAAACAACAACCGTTGCCGTAAATAACACAACAAATGTAAGTATTTCCGTGCCTGAAATAATAAAGAAAAAAATAACTGAAAAAATTAAAACGCCCCGTCCGTGTTCCTCCGCTTTTTGTGCGACTGTCTGTGTGCCCTTCTATAAATAAATAAAATCAAATTAAATGCAACTAGTTGTGTGTGAGGCACAATATGCTCGGATAAATTACAGCAATTTCGTATTTGCGCCGTTGCCTTTACTGAAAATTGCCCCCCATCAGTGGGGACGCAAACCAAATTGCAGCCAGTCAAGCGAAGGCTCAAACCATCCCCTAGACTATCCCATGTTGTTTTTGTTAGGTTTATTTCGGGCACGTCTCATGATTATACTTTCTCGATACGATCCAGCTAAATATAGAACGTTCAACGGCTGGCCGCATAACAACGCTGAATACGTATTTATTTATTTATTATGATGCCAGGCCAGCAGACGCTGCGGCAGTCATGTGCCTCGCCAAAAAGATTTTCTTTTTGCATCTCTGCCAAAATCGTGGAGACAATGTAGACACGGATCGTATAGTATACCCTATAGATAGTATTCCCCCAGTTGGCAGCGACACAAGCGCAGGCAATTAACGTTCCGCTTCCAATTCCGAATAATTCGCGCATTAAAGTTTTTTAATTGTCCAAGCCCAAAACAATTGAAACTACACTCTATAGAGATGACGCACTGATCACTCTCCTCCGAACGGCGGCCTCGGGTGTGTTTATGGTGCTTTCAACCGGATTTCAGCGGTTTGTGGACTTGGTTCGCACTCCACCTTCAGTTTCCCCACACGAATAGTTGTTAATTTTAACCAAGAATGTTGTCCGAGTTGCAGCGGAAAATGTTATTTATATATAGAACTGAATCCATTTGAATGATCTGCTGCTGCTCTTCAAGTCGCAGAAGCTCAACTTGGTACAGTCGAGCTTATGACACTTGAGTCACGCACCTGTACAACAAGCTCGTTTACCTTCGCCGGCGATCGTTTACCTGGCCAGCATTGAACTCCATCACCATTACCTTGTTACATTTGATGAACTTCAACTGACTTTTTTCTGTTTTCCCCTCTTTGCAGTGCCATCAACAGCCAATATGTCGATCGCCAGTGTTCACGGTCCCCAAATCGCCGACATCTGCAGTCCCTTGTCGTAAGTATTTAAATTTAGATACGCATCTATAGATCGCATACATGATTCATTGTATTAGCTGGAAGTAGCGATTCATGGGATTCAACCGATTCGTTTCCATTTCCGTTTCTCGCATTTGCTAAATATCGCGCTGTAAACAATGTCAGGGTTGGATTTTAGGGGGGATATGCAAGGGGGCGTGAGTCGGTGTCTCATTCATGATTTTAGCAATCTTATCAAGCGGAGAATGGCGAGTGGGCCAGGGTGCAGAGTACACAGCCGCAATACCTATCAATCCAATAAAAAATATATACAATAATAAAAACCACACCTGCAATTTGGCCACGACTTTGGCCCATTAATGAAGGGGGCCAGCACCTTCAGAGCTCAACAGTTCGGCGTCCGTCTGTGCTTGTATATACATACACCTAGAGACTTGAATGTATACATATATATTCGCATTCGTATCATTATCATTTGGCATTTTGGGGCCGCACAAAAGCAACAAAAGCCCCGTCGCCATCGCTCACATGATCGGGCGAAAGTCGCGCCGCAGAGTCGAGTCGTCGGGTACAGTCGCCAATCATTGCCCTCGTCCCCATCCCCCCAGGCCCACCTCACTCACACATCCATCCATCCCGAAAACCCATTCCGCTCTGCGTACCGGCACGCTACTTATTATCATAATCACGCCAGCTCATGCTGCCTGCCACCCACTTGGCAAGGTCACGGTTTTTGTCATGATTACTAATCAAGAATTCCCCGCTTCGGCTCTAATCTCTTCCAGGCATCACAATCTCCGTCTGTCTGCTTCGGTGCCAGATCTGGTTGGTAGCCCTCTGGAGATCAGCATGGACAACGTGCTAACCATCGAGGAGCTGCGCCAGCACATGGGCTCCTGCTTCACCTGCGGCGTCTCCTGGACGGATGATCATGTGTCCCTCGACTGCAGCGAATGCGGTGGCTACAGCCTGGAGCGTCCCTGTCCCCTTTGCGACGGCCAGTGCGGTGTCCAATGGAAACGTGATTTCGCCATGGTGAGTTGATTACTCTCACTCTCCCCTTGTCGAATTTTCCATAACTCGAACGTTAAGCTAAAATTTCCTGGATTTATTGAACGTCATAACTCAAATTTCTTTATCTCGGATCAATTGTTTGCTTTGCCAAGTCTTTCTATTAATCCCATTTTGATAGATACTAATTTTTTGAAAGTACAAAATGAGGAAGAAAAGTTAATATACATAACAGCTTTGGTTGACACCTCCAAATCTTTTGTCGATAAGTCAATGCAAATAAGCATTGAAAGCAGGAAATTAACATTGAGGTTTTCTATAAAATACATACACATTTGGTAGATTATTTAAACAAATGTTCTAGACATAAAATATTACGCCTTAAGTTGCTCTATTAAATGAAATATATAGGCACGTTTTCGAGTTATACAAATTCAACAGAATTCAAGATTGTTTACCAAACTAAACATTTCCTTTTGTTTTCCTTACAGTCCCATGCCTGCAGTCAAGCTCGCTGGGTGGGCGTGTGCATTAGCTATCCGGAAGTGGTGGCCGGAGTCCAGATGCCCGTTGGCGGAGCCGCTGGAGCTGGAGCCACCTCGTGTGCCGCTGCCGCTGCGAATCAACTGCGTTTGGCCCAGGAGCTGTGCTCCCGCCTGGAACAGCTGTCCACATCGACGGCGAGCAAAAGCGGTCGCATCTAGAGCGAGGACCGCCAAAGAGTTCCTTCGACAGCCAGACTGCAAACACGCCTCCACATCAGCCACACCTCCCCCGCACACACAGCCAATCAACCGGATAGCAGATAGCTGAAAGCTGTAGCAGATACAGCTACTCCTACACCTCCACCTCCTCTACACAAAAAACACACAGTCTCTCACCCGTAATTTAGGGCCTAATTACTAAGCTTTTTAGTTGTTAGTTTTTATTGTTGTGCAGCGTTCAGTCTTTATATTTTTTTCTGTTTATTTTTGCACACATTTTCTTTTGTTTTATGATTTCACTGGTTTCGTTTTCGTTTCGTTCGTTGTGTGACTATGCAAATGTTTAGCAGCTAAGTTAGTTCCTTTGTTTACCTTTTAATGGCACCATTATGTTTGCACACATGACCTGTTCTATCCAGGAAAAGACTTCTTTCTGCTTAGACTTAAGCCGAGTTTAGGCATTGCAGTGATAACGGTGATATTAGCCAGAAAGAATCGTGAACAAATAGTGAATTTATAATGATGTAGCAAATGTCTAACGATAGCTATAGCGATATGATGATGATCATTTTTGTATAGCCCACACACACACACACACTAAACAACCCGTGTAATCGTGTAGAGATTGTTGTTAACAATTAGTTAGTTGTTGTTGCGTTTTTGCCTTGTGTCAAAGCTTGTTCGAAGCGAGGAGATCCGAAAGTACAGATCAAAGTTAACTTCGATGGTGCTAACGGAGGGCTCAGTGAGCGTAACAAAGATTCTTCCAAATTGCATAATGCTCAACAAAGTAACTACAGGATTGAACATTCTCTCCAAAGGGGGAAAGCGAAAGCGCGAAAGAAAATAATGAGAAATTAAGAACGTATAAAAAAAACACGCACAAGCAAAAACAATTAAAAAGCATTACTCAAAAAGTTGAAGATTTTCTGTGAAAATCCATATGACATGTAGAAGTTTATACCTAATATATACACCTATATATTATATATCATATAAATCTGCATTCAATATACATAAATAAATAAATATATATATATTTTTAATGTAGAGATATGTTTTGTAAAAGACAAAGGCATATTTTTAAAATTAAATACTTAAACTATGCAAAAATCAAAGCAAATGTATTCTAATTAATTCGAGGTGTCTTGTCGTCAAGGCTTGTTATCAGCTAGTCACGGAATCGCGCTTCGCTCGACCTGGGTGCCATTGTTCAACTACGGGAGGCCCGCGGTGTAAGCCGGAATCTAATCAGCATTTATGGCTACCAGGTGGTCTGGACGACGCCGCTCCAAAGCCGACATCACCTGCTTTTGCTAAATGGTCGACAAACACTCTTAAGGCTTCTGGGGATTCTCGCCCATAAACATATGACATCTTGTTTAGCCATCGTAAAGCGGGATTTCACCTGCTCTCGGTGAATTTATCACCCTTTGTCCCACGCAAGGGGCACAGATTTCGGATTTCATCATTCTTTTTGGGATTCCTCGAAACGAGAAAACGCCAACTCTTCATTTGTATTTCTGGTTTGTGTATCTTTAAATCGCTTTCATTACGGTTATTGCCTTGGGTCTGTTTTTGGTGTTCCACAACGCCGGTATTATCATTTCTGGGAATACATTTCATCGTGTCCCGAAGTTGTTTCGTTATCATCGAGCACTGCCAGTACTGATTTCTTGACTTGTTTAGGGGTGTTAAGTCACAATTTTCTAGAATTGACAGTTCTTCACTTCCTTTCCAAAAATGACATGACATATCTTTAGTTTCTAATAAACCTATTAACCTATTGGGTTAAGTTAAGGGAACTTTGTCTATTTTTGGAACTTAATATATTTAGATAATTTAAGTTTAAAGATAACTCTATTAAAAAGTTTTCCCTCGATTTTTGTCCAGACAGCAACATAGACTACGGCTTCGACTTTTGCAACTCTTTCTTCGCTGGCGGGCATACCAAACTGGAGTGTTGAGGGATACGAGACTACTTTCACCTAAGGATATGGATAGTTTAAAAAAAGTATATTAAGAAACAATTAAAGAACTTACATTTCTGTGCTGGATCCAGTTCGGATTCTGGGGATGCTTCTGTCAAGGGCATTTGAGCCTGTAGCTCCTCCAAAAGTTCGGCCAGCTCTTGAGAGTCCTTGACAATGCTACACAGCTCCTCCTGCTGGAAATCAGGATTTATTTGCTTGCACAACAGGAATTGGCTAATAACGTTGCCCAAATTGGATGGGGCAGTGCGGGAGGGAGCTGCAAAATGATATAAATACTAAAATCCTAATATCCTAATTTTAAATATATGCTCTCCAACCATAATATTCCGTCATGTCCAGTGGCACCAGTTGGATCAAACGATGGCTTTTTATGAGTTCATGTTGAAATTGCTGGGTAAGATGATACAGCAGGGTCAAGTGCATCCTTTCACTGGGACTGCCCAGGCAATGACGTGGCTGGGGAGTGATTAAATGGGCGGTGTGCTTGCAGGCATCCACACAGTTCCGCCTCAGCTTCCTGATCTTCTCCCGCAACTCGGGTGAATCTCGGGCCTGTCCTATAAAGATAAGCATCTCCCGGAATTGGGCCACATGACAGTTAATTTCTGTAATGAGCTGGGATAGAAAAAATAGATATTATGCTGATATGCTTCTAATATTAGATATATATATATTTAATCAGGCTTAAAGGCATAACATACCTTTTGGGGATCCCGCGAGGGTAGTAGCAATTGGGGCAGATAAATGGACAGCCGATGGGCGATTATCGTGGAGTTCCTAATGGCCAAGGCCGTGCTGCTGGCCACACAGGCCACTGGCTTCTCCTCCAGCCCAGCCGACGAGCCGATGCCTCCTCCATGGGCCATGTTTGGATGCAGACTGCAGCAGCATCAGTTTTTTAAACCACGAATATGGGTTCTATAAAAAGCCAGGACATACCACGGCTGTATGTTTGTGTATTGAGTGAGGCTGCTGGTGGACTGTCTTATGTAAGCAAATTGCTGCTGCCCCGTCTCATTACCTTGTGTCAACAAGTCACGCCAGCTAAAAAGCAAAAAAATGGGCCTGGTTGGGGAAAAAAATAGCCATGAGATACCCCCACCGTTCCACTTTCAACAGATTGCACACCCATATGAAGCCATTATGAATAGAGCAGAGCAGTAAGAATGTTGGTAAGAATGTTGTTTAATGGGTTCGAATTCACAGGGCTAAACACAGACAAAATATACAAATTATGAGCTTGATTGGGACTCCCCAAAGATGTCCTCGACTAATTGATTCGGAGAATCAATATACAAGTCAATGGAATCATAGTCAATGGCATCCAATTCCTCGTAGATCATTATGTCATCTATTTCAAAGTTTGGCTCCTGAAAGGATGATATATATTTATGAAATAGGGGTGTTCCCCAATGTGTGTTAAATTTCATTAAATATAGATTGCCCTTACTATTTTGGCGTACTTCCAGCACTCCACAGCCTTGTAGTTTTCACCCAGTTTTAGATTGATTAGCGCCAGAAATCCCCATACGTTGGGCACATGGGTATCCAGATGGGTGGATTTGGCAAAGTACTGAAGAGCCATCTCTAATTCGTTCAGTTTATAGTAAGATTTTCCCATCAAATAGCCGGCTACGAGAGCAAGTAGCTGGCCAGCGAATGGTTGATTTAGTGCTTCGATGCACTTTTCATAGTTCCCCAACTCGTATGATATATAACCCAGTCGCAGTCTGCTGACCTCGAAGGCATCACGTTCGGTTTCCTCGGTAACCGGCAAGGTGAGACAGCATTCATAGTATAAAGACGCCTCTTCCAGGTTACCCCGATGGAACTCCACATTACCATTGACCTGGGCATTCATGGCGGCCTATAAAAGAATTTTGGCTAGAGAGCTATAGTTCGTTGAAAAGTTAAACCATTTATTTCTTAACCCACCGCTTGATCAGCCTCCTCGCCTTCTCCAAACTCGTAGCTCTGCAATACAAAGTCCTCATCCAGTTGATTGAGCATAAGGGACAGCTGTGTATTGATCATATACCGATCCGCATCATTGAACATATGCTCCACAGCGGCAAAGACAACCTGAGCGAACTCGTAGAGACCCAGGCGCGCAAAGGTCCTGAAGACTTCGAAGAATAGGGTTCCCCGAACCGTAGGTAAGGTTGTGGTGAGGGTTAGGAAAAGACCCCAAAGGCTGTGCGGAGCATGGGAGGATGAGTTCACCCGGTTGTGTCCATTCTGATCTGCAAATCGCCAGAGGGCAAAGGCGCAGCCTGGTTCGTACTTGAATCTTTTGTAGTAACAGAAAAGCAGAATCCAGCCATCCTGTTGACGAGGATTCCGCTCGGCATAGTTCGTAATGCTCTTCAGAAGACACTCCGTACAGTCGGCCGAGGTTTCTGGATTGTTTCTCGTGTCCACGTAGTTTATATACAATTTAATCCAGCCACTATGATATCAGTTCAAATGAGATAGTCTTACTTTGATTTGGGATATCAATGGATTCAAGCTTACGCAAAATAGTCGTGGGTGTCCGCCAGGTGATTCTTTTTGAAATACAACTTAGCTTTCTCGAGATCGCCACGTTCCATGTACGCGATAAGCATGTAGAACCAAAATCGTTCATCACTGGGATACTCGGTGGTGGCCTGTAAATGGGAAACGTCAAGAAAACTTCATAAAAATGTTCCCTTCATCATTTAAACTTATCAAGAATTTTCCTAAAGTACATTCTAGTAATTTTTTAAATTATTATAACAGTTCATATCTGAACCTGTTTGCTGAAATGACAATTTTATCAATTAGATAACATACCCTAACAACCAAAATGATTAATTGTTTACTTCCGAAATTCGTTCATTCATAACTGATATACTACCGGAAAGGTTTAAGTAAAGTCGGGCTGTTATTCATTATTTACAATCTAATCAAATTAGCGTACAATTTGTGTGAATCACTTACAGGTTTAAATGAAACCTTAATCATTTCCGTTTATATCATATGAAAATATATTCTAACAGAAATGTAATATCAACTTGTATTCGGTTGTTTATTTATTTTATAAAAAATGTGTCATTTTAATTAGACTTCATTATTTTGTCAATTTGGATGGTTGTTAAAAGTAATTAAAAGTTTACTTGCTCACAAACTTTCAAATCGAGTAATTGTGTTTAATTTTAGCTGAATGACTATTGTAGTTGCTACTCGTCAAAAGTAAAATCTTATAAAAAAAAGAAGATAAGTGGTTGGAACTCAATTACTAAGCTTGGCGCTTAGTTTTTTATAAAGAATGTTACTAATAGCAGGACTGGTCACTTAATGTACCCAAAACTAATCAGTGAATCACGCTTCCCGCAATTGCGACACATAAATCAAGAACTGACCTTCTCAAGCAAAAGATTAGCAAGGCTATCATCTTTCACTAAATGGAGCAGTTTGATGGTGTTCAAGTAGTCTATCTGCCGCTCTATATGAATCTGCTTATGGACCGTGTAATTCTCAAAGCCCTCGTTCTCAATTTGCTCCACCATATTATGAATGCGGGGCTCTAACTCATTGTAGGCAAAAGCGCAGAGGTTCTGGAGATAGGAAAATAGGTTAAAATTTAGTTGACAATACTAGTGGCTAACTAACCGCAAACTCCACGCTTGAAGTTGTGGGAGTCCTTGTGTTATAGACACTACCCACCAATTTCATCAGGATATTTGTCAGGTTTTGAACGGCACAGCAAAAGTGCTGCTTCTTATCCTCGATCTTCATCACATTCTTGTCGATAATAAAAGCTATGCAATCCCTGATGAACTTGTCGAATCTGGCATAGGCTTCCATTTGGATCTCGCCAAGTGTCAACACCTTATGTGCACTATAAGGACGATCACAGAAGAGCAGTCGATTCTGGCGAATAAAGCTATCGCGAAACACCTTCAGCTCCTTGTAGATCTCCCCAATCGGCGCCAGAAGACATAACTTTATGATGGCAAAAGTGGGCGTAAGACGTTGCCTATCTAAACCCTTTCCACTTGTTATACTGCTGCTAATCTGCTTCTTGGCCTTAATTTTTCCCGTGTAATCCAGCTGGACAGCAAATCTCATATTTTGGACTGTTCAAAATGGGTTTAAAATAAAATATAATAACATATTTCAGAATCCCGATAAAAACCAAGATATTATTTGAACTGCATGTATACTAAAGGTTAGGGATACGTAAATATCTTAAACTTTAAATAGTATGTTTAACGATATCTATTAAAGTTCTCGAGATCTTCACGATATCATCACAACTTCGTATACTACTCAAAAAATTGAGAAAGTATCCTTTAATATTTATATTTTTACTCCACAAGCTAAGCTTATTACTAATTTGTATCTGGAGTTCCTTAAGACCTAAACTTACCACCCGGAAAGGCCATTATAGACGGATCCAAAACACCCTGGAAAATTTTCTGCGGCTTGGCGGTCCCAGAACTTTGAAACGCTTCTATGGCTATAACATACTGCTGACAGGTGATGACAAACGAAAGGATATCTGCCATCTTTTGAGTCAGGATATAGCGGTGGAAGGAGTTGCAGATGAGAGCCTCATTTGTTGACTGATCGATTTCCTCAAAGTCCACCGTCATGCCCTCGCTGCAAAAGAGTTCCGCGAAGAGTCGATGCATTTCCACCTCCATGGCGGACTTCAATCCGGTCACATTCCAAGGATACACGGTGCGGCGGAAGGACTCGAAGACATGATGATTGTCCTGCGTGCTGATAACCTTCCGCTCCAGGTTTCCAAATTCGCAGAGCGGTACAAACGTGTACTCATTTCGATCACTGGGCAGCCGGGAGCGGAAACTCACCCGCACCCACAGGGTCTCCAGGTCCAGGACGTACTCCTCCTTCAGGTTATAGATGCTCTCAAACGTCACGAAGGCCATGTTGGTGAAGGTCAGCTTTTTGGCAATGGGCAGCAGGGTGTAGAGATCCCATTCCGTGTGGACAGTGGTGCGCAGATCGTTGGGAACATCCGGCATGGGGTAGAGGTACAATTGCTCAGAGATCATGCTGCGTCGGTGGCCAAACAACTTGATCACATCCAGGTAGCCCACACATAGTAGATCCAATCTTTCCGTCTCCCTGGCCTCGAACTCGTCGTCATCGTTTGCTGTGTTCCTTCCCGTGGATATGGCCAAATCTGAGTCGGAATCCGCCTCCAAGTCATCAACCTCCTCCTCCTGCTCCTCAAACATTTCGTACTCCGGTTCAAACTTTCTTTTCGGCGGAAAGACACGCATGTACAGTTGAATCAGGAGGGGATTATCCGCCGCATGATTGATCCTGTCCACGTTGTCCTGCTGGAAGATCAGCGTGAACGTGGGTCTCTCGTTGAACTCCCTCTGCACTATGATCGCATCCGTGTTGTAGTGCTCATCGCATTTGACGATCAAACTGCCACCTTGGCTAATGTGAATCTCCAGCTGATGCTCCGTTTGGGGCAGGTTGGCTATGTTGGTCAGCTGGATGTATAGGAAAACATTAGGCGGCTGCGGGTGGATGCCAAGGTCCTCCTCCTTCTTCTCCGCCGCCCCCTTCTTTGCCTTCTTTGGCGGCATTTTTCATCAAGACTTTCGGATTGTGTTTATTTTTGAACTGTAACGGAAAATTCGTTGGCAGGTCGTTGGCAGCAATCCATGTTTTATCAACGTTTTATCAACGTGCAAACGGTATTCGGACTCTTATCCTGACTTTTGAACTTTTGGAAATTTTGATGAACTTTGGACATTTTTGGGGTATTTCTTTGGTTTTTAAAATCTCGTTTTGATTATATTTTAGATACATTTGAAACAGGCATTTAACAAAACGTATTTATTCGTTTTTTTAAAAAGGACACACTTTGAGATAATATTTTTATTTTATAAACATAACTATTATGTTAAAAGTATAAAA